ATTTAGTGTTAATAAGCTATGAGAACAGTGAATTTAAATAATAATCTTTACAAAAGTCCACAGAAAAATAATTTAGTAAAAATATTGAATATACATTAACTAATATTTATTTATTGTTTTTGCATACAATTTAATTGATTTATTTACATAAAACTAATTAATTAAGAATTTGATATTTTATCTTAATAATAAACATTCGCTGTCCAGTTAAAGTACTAAATGTTTTGTTTTAGTACTGTTTTCTTAGAGATTTAATATGCTTTGTTAAATCAACATCGTTAAATCCTACACACATTTATTTATTTAAAAAAAATTAATTTTGTTAAATTCTACACACTTAAATTCCACATGGCTATAATCTCTATTCACATTTATTTTTTATTCAGAAAATTGTTTCCATTATTCTACTTATTTAATCGAAATTTTATCAAATTCTATCAAAAACGAATTATTACAAATTGTTTTCATTCTTATCCAACTCTTTGATGGAAATTCTATCAAATTATATAAAAACCAATTAATTAAAAAATTTTTCCATTCCTTTACGCCATTTGTTAGAAATTCTATCAAAAACGAATAATTACAAAAATTGTCTCCATTCCTGTCTATTTATTTGATGGAAATTCTATCAAATTTAATCAAAAAACGAATAATTACAAATTGTATCCATACCTGTTTATCTATTTTATGAAAATTCTATCACAAACGAATTAATAATAATTGTTTCCATTTATATCCAACTGATTCATGAAAATTATACAAATTATATAATAACTAATTAATTAAAAATTGTTTCCACTCCTTTCTGACTATTTGTTAGAAATGCTATCAAATTCTATCAAGAAGGAATTATTAATAATTGTTTCCAGTTATACGCAATTTTATGATGGAAATTATATCAAATTATATAAAAACTAATTAATTAAAAATAGTTTTCTTTGATATCCAAATGTTTTATGGAAATTCTACAAAAATAATATAAAAAACGAAAGATTAAATATTGTTTTTATTCATAACCAACTGTTTGATGGATGGAATAGAATATGTTCTATTAAAAACGAATTATTGAAAATTGTTTCTATATCCAATTGTATGATGGAAATTATATCAAAAACGAATTTTTAAAAATTCTTTCCATTTATATCCAACTGTTTAATGGAAATATCATTAAATTATATAATAACTAATTAATTAAAAATTGTTTCCACTTCTTTCTGACTATTTGTTAGAAATGCTATCAAATTCTATCAAAAAGGAATTATTAATAATTGTCTCAATTCATATCCAACTGTTTGATGGAAATTCTATCAGAAACGATTTATTAAAAATTGTTTCTATTCCTTTGTATCCCTCTGATGAAAATTCTATAAAATTATTATATCAACAACTAATTATTAAGAATTGTTTCTAATTAATTAAAGAAAAGGAATTTATCCTTCGGTAATAATTATTAAATTAAAGGTGAAAGAAGTTAACAATTTCTCCGAATCAATGTTCTGACTAAAGCATCTTAAATCTCATTTATATCGACAGTGCAACTGCCGTAATACAGAAATCTGCTTTTTCAGAAAATATATTTTTCGAAATTACTTAATATTTTCTAAAATCTCGAAGAACTCAGAAAAACTCTTTTCATTTATATCCAACTGATTCATGGAAATTTTACAAATTATATAATAACTAATTAATTAAAAATTGTTTCCACTCCTTTCTGATTATTTGTTAGAAATGCTATCAAATTCTATCAAAAAGGAATTATTAATAATTGTTTCCAGTTATATGCAATTTTATTATGGAAATTATATCAAATTATATAAAAACTAATTAATTAAAAATAGTTTTCTTTGATATTCAAATGTTTTATGGAAATTTTATAAAAATAATATAAAAAACGAATTATTAAATATTGTTTTTATTCATAACCAACTGTTTGATGGAAATTCTATTGAATTATATCAAAAACGAATAATTACAAATTGTTTTTATACCTTTCTATCTATTTGATGGAAATTCTATCAAATTATATCAAAAATGAATAATTAAAAATTGTTTCTAGTTATATGCAATTTTATGATGGAAATTATATGAAATTATATAAATTAAAAACTATTTAATTAAAAATTGTTTCCACTCCTTTCTGACTATTTGTTAGAAATGCTATCAAATTCTATTAAAACCGAATAAGTACAAATTGTTTCCATTCCTTGTTCTATCTATTTTATCAAAATTCTATCAAATTCTATCAAAAATGAATAATTACAAATTGTTTCCATTCCTGTCTTTCTAATTGATGGAAATTATATCAAATTATATATCAAAAATGAATTATTAAAAATTGTTTCTATTCCTTTCTATCTATTTGATGGAAATTCTTTTAAAAAGGAATATTCCTTTTTAAAAGAATTATTAAACATTTTTCCATTTCTATCCAACTATTCTATAGAAATTATAATCAAAAAGAAATTATTAAACATTGTTTTAATTTCTATCCATCTATTTATTTATCTATTAACTACTATATTCAATCTTTACACAAGAACCCAGTAAACAATCAACAATTAAAAAGTAATCGAATAATTTTTGCTAGAGTAATAATTATTTTTTACAATCATCGACTGAAAATTCTATCAAATAACAATTTTCTAAATATGATTTTTGTTATATACAAATTCTGTTTATTGGTAATTCAGTTAATAAAAAGACTTTTAAATGAATATTAGGATAAATAGAAATTTGACAAAAAAAACACTTCTGATAAATAAAAATTCTTATGAAAATTTTTCTAAATATAAATTCGATGAAATGGAAATTATTATTTGAAAATTTAATATATCCATTAATTTAATGTATTAATATCTGCTTTATCAAAGTTCAGTTATATATAGAAATTCTATAAGATCAGAATTTGTTATAAATAGAAATTCTTCGATATTAAAATTAATTGTAAAATCCTCTTTTTTTTTAAAAAAAAAAATTCTGCGAAATGTAAATTTGATAATTTTTCGTTCGATACAAACAAAAATTCCGACAAGTCTAATTTGGGAGATTTTTGATGCGTTCCGACTAACCTCATGGGTCTATAGTTAGACGGATCGTCACGGTCACCTTTTTTTTTAAAGAGCATATGCTTATTGATAATGACTCCGATGAGTCAGGGATTTTATTAGGGTTCCATAATTTTATTATACAGTTTCTAGAGATAATGTATCCAATTTTGCGGATGTCTTTTATAAAAATTATTATTATTATTTCCTTTTGATCTTTACATTTATTTGTGCTATTAAATAATTTCTGTTAGTTCAAAATCTTTTAAAATGTATATTGTTTTTTAATTTAAGGATTCGGTTTTGAAATTTTTTAAATCAGATATCTTCCGAAATATACGATAGCGATATATTTTTTTACAAATAATTTCATTGAATTCACAGAAAATTAAAAGGCATTAAAGTAAGCTGCAACGCTTATTATTTTAATCCAATTTTTAATACCAAAATGGATTAAAATAAGCAAAATTGGATTAAAATAATAAGCGTTGCAGCTTATTTTAATGCCTTTTAATTTTCTGTGATAATAACTAATGCCATAGTAACTAATGCCACAGTAACTAATGCCACAGTAACTAATGCCACAGTAACTAATGCCACAGTAACTAATGCCACAGTAACTAATGCCACAGTAACTAATGCCACAGTAACTAATGCCACAGTAACTAATGCCACAGTAACTAATGCCACAGTAACTAATGCCACAGTAACTAATGCCACAGTAACTAATGCCACAGTAACTAATGCCACAGTAACTAATGCCACAGTAACTAATGCCACAGTAACTAATGCCACAGTAACTAATGCCACAGTAACTAATGCCACAGTAACTAATGCCACAGTAACTAATGCCACAGTAACTAATGCCACAGTAACTAATGCCACAGTAACTAATGCCACAGTAACTAATGCCACAGTAACTAATGCCACAGTAACTAATGCCACAGTAACTAATGCCATATAGTAAATAATGCCACAGTAACGAATGCCACAATAACGAATGAAATAGTAACTAATGCCACAGTAACTAATGCCGCAGTAAATAATGTCATCACAGAAAATTAAAAGGCATTAAAATAAGCTGCAACGCTTATTATTTTAATCCATTTTGGTATTAAAATAAGTAAAATTGGATTAAAATAATAAGCGTTGCAGCTTATTTTAATGCCTTTTAATTTTCTGTGTTCCTTGTAAATAAAATAATTTTTGTATAAATATATTAAGAAACAAAGCAGCTATTTGTTGATGTTTGTGGCATGAGTGGAGGTCTGAGACGGTGGTCCGTTAATGTGCCGCCACTGGGACGAGAGATTCTAACCGGAATTTTTTTTTTTTTATACCATTTCGTAACATGAAACTTCTATTCGCTTCCCTATCAATTCAGAACTTCCGCTAGATCGTCATATGTTTCTCGACTTTTTAGTTATTATACAATTTCCGACTGACCGCTAATATTTAATTTAAACATATAATCAACATTTTCCATTTATTGCTTTCAAGTTCAGCCTTGAACCTAGAAATCTCTGAAATAATAGATCTGTCTTATAATAAACTTGAAGTAAATTATACGGAAGGAAGCAACAGGAGTTGACAATAAAATTCTGAAGAAAGAAGAAGAAAAAAAAGAAGAAGAAGAAGAAGGTAGTGAAAAAAAAATGGTATAAGGTACAAAGGAAAGAGAAAGAGGGAAGGCTAAGTGAAAGAGAGAAAAACGGTAAAATGTCACTGTTCCCTAATTATACGGAGTAACTAGCCTGCAATTCCAAAGCAAAGAGGATGCACGGAAATGTTCAAGTTCTACAAGATTCACTGTATAGTCGAGAGCACCTTGACTTCTCTCAAGGTACCGCTATCCTAGCAGCCAATTGCGTCACAGCATAGAGCAGAACAGACCACTCCGGACTCTTCTTTAAGTCCCTTTGGCCGGATGCCACTACCACCTTGGTTTATAAAGTCAGGACATTCCGCGGCCTCCAAGACAGAGCCGTGTCGACAGCCCAGCCATCAGGACGTTTTTCAAAAAATCGAAAAGTGTACGTGTGGTCGGGTTCGCGGTGCGAGTTGGTTTTTTCTTTTTTTTCAATATACTAAAACATATTTCTTCACTTTTCGCATCGTGATTGTTGTTGAAGAAAAATTTCTCCAAATACAAAACTCAGTGGCTTGTGATTTATTATTCAAGGTGAACTTTGAACCCGGTTTGTTGGTAACATTGACTCGGAAAGGTACGTGTGTTCAAATTTGTGTGGATTATTGCAATGTGTTGTAATTAAATATGTGTTAATGGTGGTTGTGTTTAGAAGAATCCTAAATCTCTTGGAATTCATTTTCAACATTTCCTTTATTTTAATTATACATGATCATAGGAAGGCGAGATTTCGTTATCACAGTTTTCACAATTTTTACATTAAAATTAATTCAAAACAATTTTTGAAATAAATTAATTATACTCTCTAAATCTGAATTAGTAAAAATGTTTGTTAATTTGAATTAGTGATTCACTTTTTGCTTCTGAATTAGTAAAATTTTACTAATTATTATAGTAACTTTTACTAACAATTAGTAAAATTTAACTAATTCTAAAGCAAAAAGTGAGTCACTAATTCAAATTAGTAAACATTTTTACTAATTCAGATTTAGAGGGTAAAGGTAATTGGATTTAAATTACAAATCTATTAAGAATTTTAAAAATATCAATTTACTTTTATATCCCAATTATCTATTTTCAAAATTACACTTAAGGCACTCTCACACCTTTTTGGCTGCCTGCAGGTTACCATGGCAACGCACGAGTGTGAGTGAGACAGAAAATTTGAATATTCAAATTTTTAAATTTTCTGTCGCACTCACTCTCATGCGTTGCCATGGTAACCTGCAGGCAGCCAAAAAGGTGTGAGTGCGCCATTAAATCTTCATATTCTGGTGCTCTTTTGTGTTTCAAATTATTTATTTTTATTTGAAATTCTGCCGTTTTGTTTCCTTAACAACTAAATCAAGAAAATGTTCTGCAATATATATCTTAAATAAAAAAAAAAAGTGATTTCATTTTTGTCTTCATTTATAGCAAAAAGCAAATCTTCTCGATGAACTCTTTGAGAACAAAAAATTAATAGTAAAGTCGATTGCTATTTCTTTATTCAGCTGTGCGGCTGAGGAAATCTCAATTATTTTCAAAGCAATTGAAAACAGAAATTGATCTTCAGATCTGTAAAAAGTCTTGATTCCTCGATATTTGTTTTTGAATAATAAAAATAAATTTAAAAATAAAAAGCCAATTTTTTGAGGGAATTTTTTTTTTTTTGCCTTAAAATATTTGGATAAAATAATTTTTTTTTTTTATTTACGTTAATATAACTGCTTATTTGCAACTTTGGGGATAAAACACGCGAGAGCAAGAATAGATAACTGTAAAAGTAGAAAAACAATCGCTCTTCATTTCACAGGTTAAGTTAGAATAATCAGGGCAAAGTGTCATTGTAACCTCAATTTCCCTCAAATACGAACAATCGTAACATTCCGTTTTGTTCTGAACTGTTTTTGGCTTCCAAGAATGATCACAAATTACTTCCTTTTTTTAAAATTCGAAAATAATAATTATAAATTCTAAATTATCTGTTTATAAAAAAAACAAATTATATACTTTTAATGGAGGTGTATCTATTTCTTTTCTATATAAAATACATTAAATTATATTAAGCATTTCGTCATGGTTTAAATTGATTATTCTACCCTCGAAATGGAATTTTTTTTTCTATTAGTAAAAATTATATACCTCCTTTTAGAAATACATCTATTCTCGTATAGAGAGAGAGAGAGAGAGAGAGGAGTTTTTTTTTATGCACACTTAGGAGGAAATTATAAAAAGCATTTTTTTTTTCTTTTAATGAATTTTTTTTTCTTTTTATAAGATATTTCAACACACTTTTAAGATTCTGAATTGTAGATTCCCACAGGGAGCGAGTTATACAGTATAAGTCAAAGTCAGGGTCACCGACGCTCCAACAGTCACACATTGAGTAATACTTTGTGTGTGCGGCGTGCGTGAATTTGACTTCAGTTGTACGAGAAAAAAGCATTAAAAAAAAAAAAATTCTTATTCAATGTTATTTTCTCATATAATGAAAAATTCCCCAAGAAATTCCTTCGCCTGAAAGTTACTAAAATTCTTTGTCAATAATGAAATTTTTATAATTTTATAAATTTCTAAATCCATTAAAAAAATTTAACAATATTTAAAGAGCCGACAAAAAATTAATTTTAACCCTTAATTGGCACTATGGGTCCAGTAGACCCGAGCATTTTTTCTCGCTCAAATTAATTGAATATTTTTTTATATTTTAATATATTAGTTTGATATATTCTTAGTAATTTTGTAAATTTTTGGATACAACTAATTCGATACAAAAGAATAAATTAGCTTCAAACATTAATAATAATTATCAATTTTTAATTTTAACCTAAAAATTCACATTTTACAAAATAAATACCTTTTTTGCAAGTTTTGCTGTTGTGGTAATTTTTTCCTTAAAAGAATAATACTTCATAACTTTAAATTTTTAAGTCATAATATTAAAATTTAAATAACTGACGCGTTTTGAAGAAAGGGACCTTAGAAGTAAAAAATTATAGGTTATGTTTTAAAATTTCTATAAGTGAAAATACACGCAGAGGATCAATTTTCAATACAAATTATTGATATTTAAGTCATTATTACATCCAAAATATTCAATAAAACATGATTTTTATTTTATATAAATAGAAAAAACTTTTAATCAAGGTAAAATTATCGTAAACATAACCTATAATTCGTTTGCTTCTAAGGTCCCTTTCTTCAGAGCGCGTCACATTATACTCATTATACACGCAATTTTTCGTTTTTATTTTTCACAATTTTTTTTAACTAACTTAAAATAAATTAATTCCTGCAAAACGAATTACATTTTAAAAAACACATCATAAGCTACCTTAGATTAAATTTTTGTGCAAAAATATTCAATACCGGCTGTACAATACACGCGTTTAAATACGTCGGGTCCAGCAGACCCGTTGTGCCATTTACATTCGAATTCGGAATTGTTAAGGGTTAAATAATTTTTGTTATATTAAGCCAAAAATTTATTATTACGATAAAATAAAATTCTGAAAAGTTATATGGTTCGTGATTATAAATTTTTACAGCGTCCTCTTCAATAGTCAAAGAACAAAAGTTTTTGTTTCTTGAACTGTTTTGCCTAAGTTTTGAGGTTATGTTTATGACTATAAATAAGTTATATCCATAGAATTTTTTCAAAATGGAATAATGTTAATCCTTTTAAAAATATTTACTTGAAATTTAAATTATAATATTATGATTATTAAATTTCTAACCTATAAATAATGACGAATATAACCTACATTATACATTTTACACCCGCATTTTTGTTATTCTTTTTAACTGTTTAAACTATTGTTTTCTCAATTGCAGAAAGTTATATATACTCAACGAATAAAAAAAATAATTAATTGATAAAATAAATTTCAGTAAAATTTTAATAAAATATAGAAAAATATAAATCTCTACTAGCCATGTATTATTTCGTGATCATTTAGTCCTAGAATAATATGACTATCCTGCTGTAAACAAAAAAAAAAAAAATTATATTTAATTATAATAAGCAAAATATTTAAAATTAATTAAGGGGCCGTCCATAAACTACGTTACCTATTTTAGGGGGGAGGGGGTCAAAAATTCTAAAAAAAAATGCATTTAACGCAATGGTAACGAGGGGGGGGAGGGGGTCTAAAAAGAATGAAGAAGTGGTAACGTAGTTTATAGACGGCCCCTAATATAAAAATTTATTAATTGAAAATTATAATTCAACTCAAATAAAAAGTTGAAAAATATTAAATAATAATAATAATAATAATAATAATAATAATAATAAAATAATTATAAATAAATTAAGCAAACAAATATAGACAGAAAATAAATTAAACTATAACAAAAAAAATAACGTTAATATAACGTTCACGTTTAGTCTTTTGTTTCACTATATATGTTTTGAAAAACGTGAAAATTTTAAAACTAAGAGATTTTAAAATAATATATGTGTGTGGTTTTCTTAAATTTTTATCTTTTTTTTTTTTTGAATATAGATATTTGAGTATAAAAACAAAAGTCAATGACATAAAGAGACGTCAATGAACTCAAAGTGAAACACATCCTCACCTGAGCCGACGAAACATCGCAATTTGACAAAAAGCCTGGGAATTTCTTTATATTCCATTTGCCTTCCTATGATCATTTATCGCCTCATACTATTCATTTAACGGTGAAAGGAAAAAAACTCTTACTTATCATCTAACGTTAATTTAAAGTTTACAATAAAAAAATTTTAATTTTAAGTTTCAATGACATGTTTTTTTTTATATAAAAATGATTATTTACGAACAAAGGAAATCGAAAGTAGTTCATTTTGAAAAAAAAGATTTGGATATCGAAGAAAATACCTTTTTTCGTTTTTTGACTATAGATATAATTATTTAGATTATTACACTAAAAAAAAATTTATTTGATTCAAATACTCGATTACTTGACTATTATTAAATAAATATTTATTTGAACCAAATAATTTTTATTTAAATTAAATAAATTGTATTTGAAACAATAATTTCTATAAATACTATTTAATAATAATAATAATAATAATAATAATAAATATTTATTTGATAATAGTAAAGTAACCGTTTATTTGAAACAAATAAATTCTTTTTTCAGTGTATAAAATATGTAGTTCATTTAAGTAGTTTTGAAATTATTGAAATTAATTTGGATTATAAAATATGTTGCAAAATATTTGTGGCACGCTCTGAAGAAAAGGACCTTAGAAGCAAAAAAAAAAATGTATTGAAATTTTAAATTGAAAATACACAAAGGGGATGAACCAATAGAAATAATTGATTTTAAGTCTTATAATTATACGCATCCAATATATTTTATAAAAACTGATTTTAATTTTACAAAAGTAAAACGAAACTTTTAATCAAAGTATATAAAAAAACCGACAATGCATTGCTTCTCAGGTCCCTTTAACAAATTACACACTGTAACAAAAAAATAGATTTTAAATTCCAACGGGACTTTATATAAAACTCACATCCTTTTGAAATTAAATCAAAGGAAGTTATAATGCTAAGGGAATTAATTTTATACCTTAGGAATTAATCTTAAGAGTGTTAATTTAAA